ATGTACCTACTTTATAGGGCTGTCCAAAAGGTTAAGTGTGATAAAATGCATATAAAGCACTTAGAACAGTTCCTGGCATATAGCAAGTATTCAGTTTATCTTAGTTACTGTTATATCATTGGTGCACACATAAGAACCAGTAATTATTGTAGAACAAGTGGAAATACGAGGAAACCAAGATTCAAATCGGATCTGTGATTTACTGAAGGTCACATGCAAAAAAAAAAAAAAGTAATCTTCCCTCACTTCTAGTGCAGATCTTTTCCTTTAAAAACACTGCCTCCTTTTCTACAATAACACCTCTTTAGCTTGCTGTATTGAGTAGGTCCAGCCCAGACACTGGTTCCTTCATTTCCCATTGTGTTTCCAGTTCTTGGCTGTGTGTTAGAGCACACATTTCTGTCTTGGTTCCGATTCTGTCAAAGCCCTTGCCTTTCTTTCTTCATGAATCCTTCCTTTAGCCCTGTGTTACTCAGACCTAAAGCTGAGTAACCACGGGCATCTCTTTTCAAGAAAGACTGGATATTAAAGCTAAATTTTTATACTGGTTAGTTTTTTTTTAAGTTCTGATTTCTTTAGCCATATCATAAATTTGTATTTAATGTAGCACAGAAAAAAAATGTTTTTATGAAGCTATTTTATTCTCTCCAAACTTTTACCTTTTTTTCCTGAGATTGTAAAATCAAATTGAAGTTTTTCTTAGGAAATGGGAAAGGAGTTTGTGAGTCACACAAATCCCCTGAGCCATTCTAAAAATAGGAGGAATACAATTTATGAATCATTGGGTTATTTTTGAAAATCTTGAATGATTAAAATGTAGAAGTATCTTTTTTGGCATCAAAAACATGTTTGTATCGTATAAGCAAAGCACATAGTATTTACTTCATTACTTGCAGTAAATTATTTGCAGGAAATTTGAGATAATTTGGTTCTCTAAGGTATTTTCTGAAAGAAGGGCATTTTGAACATATTGTTTAATTCTGGAATTTGGGTGTATGTATAGGACTGGCTATTAAATTACATTTGAACCAGCAGGTGTTTATTGAATGCTTTCTGCATATAGGGTTCTGTGTAAGATGGTAAGGTGATGTTCCCAAATCCTAACCCTTTCCTTAGCTTCCTCAGTTATGCCTTCAGGGTGCTATCTATGACTTAGGAGTTTGGAGTAAATTAACCTTGTCAAAGCTGTGGTTATGGATATTGCATCAATGTTGTTATTAATTGAATTATTTCTTATGTAGGAACTTTGCTTTCTCCAGAAAAGGGATAGCTGCTTCTAAGGCTTCGGTGGGAGTGTGTGTGTGTGTGTGTGTGTGTGTGTGTGTCTGTCTTCCTGTCTTTGACATTGTTTTCCATATATGTGTAGTTTCTTATCTTTGCCCTTTTGTCTTCCTCTGTTGAGTTTATTTTGGATGTGTTTGTATTTTTACACTCCTCTCACTGGAAGTACAATTTTGTGAGGTAGGTTGGTAGTGGATTGATATTAGAGAATTAGTGAACATGGTTCCTATCCTTAAGAAGTTTATACAGTGGGGAGAAACAAATATAAATATGTAAAACATAACTAGAGATAACTAACATTTTAATATACATATTTAGTATATGATTGTTGCTGTATGAATAACACAATATTTTGGCATTCAGAGGAAGTAGAAACTTACTTTAGGCTGGGTTAAGAAAGATTTTGTAGTGCTAGTAGCATTAGAGCTAGATCTTGAAGCATGGGTAGGATCTAGATAACTCAAGAAAACGATGTAGGATTCTTGGAGAGAATAGCAACCCTTTTTGCAGTTTTATTGTGGGAAAAATAATTTTACCCATTAAAATATTGATAAGCCTGAGGTTGCTATAAAATAGTGTGTAATTCACATATTCAAATATCTGTAGCCCATATACAACAGAATGTATATGATACTTTATAAAACGTAAGCATTTTGTTTTTGTACTTAAGAACTATTACTATTTGTGAAATCATATATTTGCTTTTATTTTTCATTTAGTGTCACGCTGAATGTCTGTTTTTTTACAACAATGAAATTAGTTTCTAATAACAAAACTCTTTAATATGATGTTTCTCATGTGGGAAGTAAGATTTTGTCCTGTTCTTGTCATCTTTGCCCAGGAATCAGATGTTAAATCAAGTATTTTCTGTCCTGCTCTGTGTCAGGCATGTAGGAGGTTAGTATAGTTGCAGATGAGAGGTAATGAAAAACCAAAGGAGAATAATGGCAGGGCTAACAGTGAGGAGATAGATGTGAAGGGTGATATTCAAGGTAGCATTTATTAGCTTAGTTGAATCTTGTCTTTGTCTCCCTTTAAACAAAGACGATTCTGAAATTTTGAGGCTAGATGACTGAGAAGATTGTGTAGTTAAAAGAGATGAAGAATTTGAGTTTTATTTTGGGTATATTTAATTTGAAGTTTTGGCAGCATGTTCAGAGGTAGGGGTCTGGGCAGACATTAGAAATATGGGATTGGAATATTGGAGAAAGATCAGGGTTGAGGATAAAATCTAGGAGTTCACATAGAGATAATAATTTGTTGCCAGGGGAAGAGAGGAAAAGAACAACTAAGAAAAATTCAGTTCCATTTCAATTATCATGGTTAATAGCAGAAATTTAAATAATTCCTAAGTTAAGCATCTTTCTGTTTGTAGTTAAGTCTGATTTTTTTGCCATTCTCTAATTTTTGGACCTGTTGCTAGATGGCAGTAGTAAACAATGCCAAGGGCAAGTCAGGCAATTTTTTAAAGACAGTGTGATCTAAGCTAAGCATTTTCATATGTTTAGTAAACTAACAATTGACAGTATATTATTTCCAGTCGTTTTTGTCCTTCACATCAGATCTGTAAAGTAAGTGTGAAAATTTCTTCCTCTTAATATCCGGCTTTTGCATGATAGTTCAAGAGTTATGCCTTTTGTTGGTTATTTCTCTGATATCAGGATCTTTCACTATGTTCAGAAGAGAGGAAATGAGTTTAGAACTTAACTAGATTTTGATCTTCCCAGGATATGGCACAAAGTGGTTAAGAGAACTTGTCTGTCCTACTGTATCTTTACATGAGTATAAAGCTGTAAATATTTATTTTTAAGAGTTTTACCACTGTTTTGATTTCTATTTCAGCAGATCCCTTTTGGATATTCACCTAATTTGGAATATTAAATAGTAACTCTACTTTAAAATGTAAAAAAAAAGTATCTTTAACTATCAATTTATAAATATTTATAAAATATTGCCTTATTTATATGAGAGAGATGTTGACATGATTATAAGCTATCTAGTGTCAGGAAGCCTCATTCTGCCTTAATCTTATTTCAATCATTGGTTAACAGCAGAAATTTAAAGAATTAATAATATGTTAAAGCCTCTTTCTGTTTGGTGACATTTTGGGGGAACATTTCATTCTGTGAATTCACCTTGGAAGTATCTAGTCCACTATATCTATATCTATATATCTATATCTGTTATAATTAACAGCATGGGATATATATATATATATTGGGATATATATCATATATTAGAATTTATATCTCATAGTTTATTCTATAGGTTTATCATTTGACACTATTGTAGTCATTCTGTGCATTTAACGTGAATTAATTTATTCCTTGTAATAAACCTGTGGGGTTGGAACTTTTATCCCCTCTTTAAAGAATAAGAAGCTGAAATGCATAGCTAATGAAGCCAGGAATTGAACCCTAACAGTCTGGCCATATACCCATTTTCTTAACTAGCATGCAATACCTATTAAGCTTCAGTTTTCACATCTAAAAAGCAATAATAAAAAGACCATCTTTTAGGGTTATCGGTAGGGTTAAATGAAACCATGCATGTAAAGAGACTGGTATAGGAACCTAGATATTAACAGTCAGTTAATATAGCTGTTTTGGGCCACTATTTTGGTTTTCTTCCAATTCTTTTTTGGGGGGGGGCGGTCTACTTGATAGTCTTTTATTGCTCCTCTGCTCATTCCTTAAACATGGTATTCTAGAGGTTTGTTTTTTTTAAGATTTTATTGGGGAATTGGGGAAGAGGAACAGACAAGTTGCTGTCCTTTTGTTCTTCAGTCTAGTTGTGGAGGACGTTGCTTCACTGGCCCATGTTGGTACCATAATTGCGCTCTTCCCGAGTGAGGCAGTCACTCGCCGGCCATTGGGCACCATTCACGGCAGCTCACGAAAGCTCACGCCCACTGCTGGCCAGCCCCACTGCAGCCTACGTTGTTGCCAACAACTCACAGCAGCCTAGCTCCTGGTCGAGCTGTTGTTCAACATCTTAGCTGTAGAGGGCGCAGTGTCACTGACCCTCATGTGGGATCCGAACCAGGGCCTGCTGCTCAGAGCTGGCATCCCAAGCCAACTCCTAACCAACACGTCACTAGGCCGGCCCTAGGGTTTCATTCTTGACCTGCCGTTTTATATCATTCTGTATAATTCCCCTTCAGGAGACTTGTCCACTTTCCTAGTTTTTAACTACTGTCCAACTCCTATAGTCTATAGACCCAATCACATACTTTCCGCTCTGAGTTGTAGACTAATGTATCCAAGTGTCTGTTGTACATCCTCCTTTGGTTCACTCACACATTCTTCAGACTTGTTATGGATAAAACTGTGCAAGAATTTTAATCTAAAATGGAACTGAAGGTATGAAGTGGAGAATCTTATGCATGCGCCCTCAGAAAAACAAAACTTAAAGACTGAAAGATTGATTTCCTGTATATGTCTGATTAACAGAAGATTGAAGCCTATCATCTGACCAATAAGTATTTGCTAAGAATCTCTCTCCATCTTTGAACCAGTGAACTCGCTAAATGGACCCTAACTGGACTTTCCCCTTTTGTACTCCTTGCCTATGAAAGCAACCTGACCTACACCTTCAACAGACTTGCCCTGTAGTTCTCTGCAGTTTGCATGTCCAGAATTGCAATTCCTGTGCTATTCTTGAATAAACTCAATTTCTGCTAATTGAAGCTTGACTCAGTTTACCGATTTTGTTTTTAGGTCGACATTACATTGCATCAGAGGTGGGATCTGAAAGAGCTGATCACCAAGAAATGACAACCTTTGGAATTGAGTGAAGTACCCACACTTGAGTCCTTTGTGCTCTTAGCTTCCACGAGTCACTGTAACTTTTGGTTTGGTAAGCCTCTTCTCAGAGCTCGGGCTCCCTCCTTTTGGCCAAGGTCTCTGATGTTATTCTGGTTGTGTATAGGGACAAATTGTCCTGGTGAGTACTCTTTTGTTTCTGATAATGGGGCCTCAGTCATCCAAATGTCCTAAGGGTGGCCCCCCTTAGAGAACCCTGGCCAATTTTTTGGTTTGTTTGTTTTTTGGGTTTTTTTTGGAGAATTGAGGAAGGGGAACAGTGTTGGGTAATTGGGGGAGGGGAGCAGCCAAGTTGTTGTCCTTCAGTTGTGCCCTTCAGTTGTGGAGGGCACAACTAACTCGGCTCCAAGTCCAATCGCCATCTGGCCGCCTTTTGGCAGCTCAGCTCAAGGGGCTATGTTCAATCTTAGTTGTGGGTGGGTGTAGCCCACCATCCCATGCAGGAGTCCAGCTGGCAACCTTGTTATTAGGAGCATGTGCTCTCACCAGCTGAGCCATCCTGCCACCTGTTGGCAGCTCAGCTCGGCCACAGCTCACTGGCTCATGTGGGACTCGAACCGACGACCCTGTTGCTCAGAGCTCGCACTCTTAACCAACTGAGCCACTCGGCCGGCTCCTGGCTAGTTTTATGTTCAAAAATTATGTCTCTCCTTCCTCATGCGCATTTTTAACTAAATGGACCAATCTTACTAAGGATAACTTAGAACTCCAGTGGCCATTATGGAGACCTTTGATGGGCCCCTAACTTGTTTTTCCCTGAACTAAATTAGAAGACTGGCTACAAAATTAAACACTTTGAATGGGATTTTAATTGGTATGTGGAGGCTTCTAAACATGTTCTAGATTCTAAATTGCCTCCTTAGAAAATACCCTTTCCAAATTGACTGAAGCAAATAAACAACTAAGTATGGATAAAAACAAAGCCACAGGCCTCTTCCTTGGTGCTAACCAAGGTCCCTGCTAATCCCACTTCCCCACCTCTCTATATCTCTCTTTGGCTCTTTCTAACCTCTCCCTATCTGAAGTTCCTTTCTTTCCTATTACTGGAACCTCACCAACCAAGCCAATTAAAATCTTCCCTTTCAGAATGAGACCTGAATATCCTACTAGATCACTCTAGATTTCTTATGCCTCATTAAACAAAGGCTGAACTTAGGGCTATAATTAAGAATTTTCCCAAGGTAACTGAGGATCCCCATAGATTTGCTGAGGAATTCAATATTGTAACACGGATTTACCAACCTGGTGTCTCCAATCTCTGTCAGTTAGTCCACATGCTTGTCAGAGAGGGTCAAGCCCAACACTGGATTAAAACTGATGGTTAGGAAAACCTCAAACAATCACTAGGGTTTAAACTAAACAAACCACCAGCTCTTTCATATGGTCAAGTTTGTGATATAGTCAAAAGGCTACACGAAGCCATCCCTAGAGCCTTCCCCAAACCCATGGACTGGAATAAAATTCAGGCATGCATGCAAAGCCTGCAAAACCTATTCATGACTATTACAGCAGACTCCAAATTGTTTTCAAAGAAAATTCTGGACTCCCTGTAGATGTTGAATCCACCCAGGTAGCTTTTAATTCCGTCTTCATAAATGACCTAAAGGGCTGTTTCCTAACCTTGTCAATCTGGCTAATCAATTAGCTTGCACCCTAGAAGGTGACACCAGAAAAAAGACAGCTAATATTTTGAATCTCTAACGCTAACAGATGGAAACACCAAAACAAATCCATCCTATAGGGCTGTATCATTATTTAAAAAAAACCTGGCCATTGGAACAAGGATTGTGACAAATTGAGATCAGAACAATCACAACTTTCCAAGAACCAACAGCCAAATCCACCCCAATGATGGGACTCTGAGGACACATCGGGACTATTCCCCTTTCTGCAGTTTAATAGACTAGGGCAAACTGCTGTCTCCAGATTGGGGTTGAACTCCTTGCAGTATTGACACAGGAGCTACTTTATCAGTGTTCAACCCCACTACAATTAAATAGTCCCTTCCATGTGGTAATACATAAGTTCAAATAGTGGGGGTATTAAATAAACCACAACATGTCCCTGTTTCTAAGCCATCTTTTTGTCTGGGACCTTTGCACACAAACACCCATTTCCCTCAGTAATTGGCTCCTATACATTTATTAGGATGAGATTTCCTGGTGAAATACAATACTGTCATTTTTTTTCTTTCAAAAGAAGGAAATAGTCCTTGAGTTCAAATCCAACACTCAGGAAAATTCAACCTTTTTGCCTTTACTTGCATTCAACAAACCAAGGAAGTCCAAACTTTGGAATCATCCCCACTTTTAAACCTGGTACCCCCCCCCCAATTTTGGGGCAAAACCCTCAATAGACACAGGCAGAATTCATAGTGCCCCTCTCCCAAGAATAAATCACTATCCTATAAATAAAGAAGTCTTGCAGGGCATAAGGCTTATTTTAGAGGACCATAAAGCCCAAGGACTCACTATCCTTCATACTAGCCCTTGTAATATCCCTGTTTTACCCATTAAAAAGCCCAATGGCCAAGAATGGAGATTTGTCCAAGACCTTAGGACAATAACATTGTAATTCCCCTCCACCCTGTCATCTCTAATCCCAGTGGTGTTGGCATCCATCCCTACTGAAAGCAACTTTTTCACTCTGGTTAACTTAGGCAGTGCATTTTTTTAGTATCCCTGTTGATAGAGATAGTCAATACCTTTTAGCCTTTGCCTGGGAAGGACAACAATATACCTGGACAGACATGCCTCAGGGCTTTACTGAGAGTCCTTCTTCTCACAAATTTTAACATCTGATTTACAAGACATAAAATTCTCTGGAGGCTCTACCTTACTGTAATATGTGGATGATTTACTTCCTTGCTTGCCGTCCCAAGATTCCTCTCACACACACACAAAAAGCAGTATTCACTTGTTGAAAATCTTAGCCATTAAGGGAAACAAGGTCTTTGAAGGAGAAATTACTATTTGTCTAAACTCAGGTTTGATATTCAGAACATTTAATCTCAGGACAGGGATTACACCTAGCGCCTGATCTTCACCTAGCAGCTGGCTCTTCAAGGCATTTTAAACTTTCCAGACCCCAAAACCAAACATCAGTTATGTGGTTTTCTTGGACTAGCTAGTTATTGTTGTAATTGGATTCCAAATTTCTCCGTAATGGCTCATCCCCCACATACCTTAATAAAGAACACCAAACCTGACCCCATTGTTTGGGATGACAAGGTAGCTTGGCCTTTAGGGCGTTGAAGGAAAGCTTAATAAATCCACCTACCCTTGGATACCTAAATTATCAGCTATCTTGTTTCCTTTTTATATTTGAGAAGGAGCTGAATGCCCTTGGAGTACTTAACCAAGACCATGGGGGATATCACTGACCTCTAGGGTACTACACCCAACAGTTAGATCCCGTGGCATTAGGATACCCCCCTTCAAACTAGACCTGCTACTGTTCTTTTAGTATAGGCTACTGATCCCCCTTGACCATCTTTGTGCCTCACCGTGTTGAAGTTCTCTTAAATTTACACCACACTCGACACCTGTCAGCAAGCTGTCTTACCTCCTATGAATTCCTCTTCCTAACTGCCCCTTGTATCACTCGTCTTCACTGTTACAGTCTCGGCTCTGCTACCTTACTCTCTCCGCTACTGATGAAATTCCCCCAGGCTGTCTGACTGTGATGGATCAGCTGTTGAGCCTTTGTGATGACTTACAGGAACACCCCTGGGTGAATGCTGATCTTTCATGGTTGACTGATGGCTGTTATCTAAAAAATGAGAATGGTGAATTTTGTGCCAGATATCAGCTACTTTTAAGGTCATTGAGGCTGCTCCCTTGCTTAGGCCACTTCAGTCCAATGAACTGAATTATATGCCCTCACTTGAGTGTGCATTTTAGCTGAAGGCGAGATAGCCAACATCTGTACTGATAGTCGATATGCCTTTGGAGTGACCTTTGTCTTTGGAATGTTATGGAAGCAGCAGGGTTTCCTTACTTCCGGGGGAGATAAAATTAAGAATGGTTCTTGTATCCCAAATTTGTTGGATGTCAAATTGTTGCCAGCAGCTCTAGCTATCAAAAGTCCCTGGACATTTCAAACCTGGTTCTCTAGGAATGAAAGGAAGACACCTCGCTAATACTTCAGCAAAAAAAAAAGCCGCCCTTATGAGACCCATACGCCAAACCTTTGTTGTGATCCAAAAGGCTATTCCCCCTTGGGAGGACCTAAGGGAACTAACTGGGGAAGTGCAACAGATGGCCTCTGAAAGAGAAAAGCAAAATTGGAAATACAAAGACTAATGGTACCATGAAGAAAAGGGACTCTGGTTTGAACCCAATAATCTGGTTTTGCCAAAACAATGTAAAATTTCCCTTATTAACCACCATACATGAATTAAACCATTTGTCCACTGAGAAAATGGTAACATTTATGAATTAGTATTGGTAGGGAAATATTGGCAAGACCACCAAAAGCACCCATCTTGTTCTACCTGTCCTATATTCAACCTAGGGAAGTCTATCTGCACTGCCTCAGGACATTTCGATTTACCCAGTGGGCCATTTGAGGTCTGCAAGAAGGATTTCAGACAGTTACCCCTATCTCATGGATAGGAATATATTCTAGTAATGGTTTGCATGTTTTCACATTTCCATGGATTTTCATGTAGAAAGGTGACTTCCTCTTTGGTAGCTAAAGTCCTTTTAGAAAAGACTATTGCTATTGGGGACCCCCCCAAACTCATAGTGATTGGGGAACCCATTTTACTGGACAAGTACTTTGTCAATTCTGCAGCATTTCTGCTGTGCTTAATATCCTCAGTCTTTAGAACTGATTGAACATACAAAATGAAATTATCAAGACCCTGTTGGCTAAAATAGTTGAAGCCCTCCAAATACCTTTGCCAAAAGTACTACCACTGGTTCTTCTTAATCTTAGATCTGCACCATTTGGGATTCATAAGCTTTCCACCCTTTGAAGTAATTACAGGACAGCCAATGCATTTAGCCCCTGCTTCCTTTGACCCACAACTAATAAAGGAGGACATACTTCAGTTTTGCAAGGGTCTAATTAATTCTATTGAGAATAACTGGTAGAACAATTTCTACGCAGCATGCT